CCCCCCCCCCAAGCAAAATACCTTCTGTCACCAAACTGCTTAATGGGATTAACCCAGTTCCAGCCCTGAGCCGCAGAGCTGTTCCTTGGGCTACCTGATCCGCTCGGCCACCTGCCCAGGACACCCTTGGCACCACGAGCCCAGCAGCCTCTCGGGCATCTGGGGACGGGGGTGTTATCAGAAGAGCTCAGCAGAGCTCAGCCCTCCTTGGAAAGGAGAGCATCCAAACTCAATGCTTCCCAGGTGACCTTCTGCAGGCAGACCCCCACCCTCTTTTCCTTTCTCAATGTTAGATGGTGAACTTCTGGGAGAGAGGAATGTGGCCTTTGTGGCTAGAAACAGTGTGGCCTCTGTAGGTCTGTTCTTGGTGCCACCCGGTTGCCTGGTCCCATCTAGCTTTTTTGCCTTTTTCAATAATTATTTTTATAATTTAATAATAAATAAAATAAAATAAATAATAAATCTAGACAGCATACTAAAAAGCAGAGAGATCACCCTGCCAACGAAAGTGTGTATAGTCAAGGCCATGGTTTTCCCAGTTGCAATGTATGGCTGTGAAAGTTGGACCATAAGAAAGGCTGAGCGACAAAGAATTGAGGCCTTTGAACTCTGGTGCTGGAGAAGACTCCTGCGAGTCCCCTGGACTGCCAGGCGATCCAACCGGTCAGTCCTAGAGGAGATCAACCCCGACTGCTCTTTAGAAGGCCAGATCCTGAGGTTGAAACTCAAGGACTTTGGCCACCTAATGAGAAGGAAGGACTCCCTGGAGAAGAGCCTAAATCTGGGAAAGATGGAGGGCAAGAGAAGAAGGGGACGACAGAGAAGGAGGTGGCTGGATGGAGTCACTGAAGCAGGAGGCGTGAGCTTCAATGGACTCCAGAAGATGGTAGAGGACAGGAAGGCCTGGAGGAACGTTGTCCATGGGGTCACGATGGGTCGGACACGACTTCGCAACTAACAACAACAACACATTTTTAATCTTGTGGCACACCTTGGGAAGCCCACAGCATGTACTGTATGTAACAGAGCTGGTACACAGGCAGTCAAACTACTACTCTGAAATAGCATTGTGGTCTCCTAGCTAATGTAACAATGCCATACGCTAATAATAATATTATTTTAATTTAAAACAAAAGCAAGCTGGCAGGTTGTGTGCAAGGCAAAACTTGCTGATGGCACCTGGGGGTTGAGGGCTAAGTGAAGCCCTGCAGCCCCTGCAGGGATTGGTTCACCAACCCAGTGGTGGATTTTAAGGACTGTGGCGGGTAGCTCTGGTTTTCCAGAAGCTTCTTGCTCCCTCTTGTGAAAGACAGTTTGGTGTAGTGGTTATGGAGCTAGGCTAAGCCCAGAAGC